TGGAGGCCTTCACACTCCCTGAGCGAGCCATCAAGTAACTATAAAAAGGCATATATCTTAACTTTCAATTCAGTTATATTTATGCCAAAGTATTAACATGCAGCTTATATTTATGTCTTTATGATGACATAGAAAACTTCGTTTATTACAATATCTAGATTAAATTAACATTGATCTTCGGAAGGTCATAGTTCCCATATCGGTATGGAGAGCGTCGGCCATGAAGCCTTGTTTAAAGTATGAATATTTTTCCTCTCTAATAAGGTATAATCTCTGTGATGGATTCACAAAAACTATTTTATATCTGCCTTTCTGATAACATATACAAATATAATCTTTATTTGTGAATATTTGTTAATTAAGCAATATATCAGAGGGCGTGTAGGGTTCGGTGTTCAATGAACGAAAAGGACTGGATCACTGTGTACAGGAGGCTGATATGGCAGCAAACACTCTCCTGGCGACCATATTTCTTGGATAAGTCGCTCCACACAATTGTCGCTTGGACCGTCGACTTCCTATGGCGTCACCTCTCACATATTTACGTCTCATTTCGTTATGAAATTATATTATTTCAGAGAAAAAATAGGTTTGATCATGTTCTACGTGTAGCACCAACATTATAGTAAGTAAATATACCATATTTCTTCATTACTTACGTAATGCTAATACGTTTTGGGTAGTTTTGGCCTGATTTGGGATGATTGGGGTAATTCTATGGACCCGAGGCAGGTAGAAAGAGCAGAATGGCAGGGTTAAGCTGTTGCTCTATCAAGACCAACACAGTCATGGGTAAAAGAGGTCCACCTGGAAATTAGTAGTGATCTGCTAGTGCCTTAATGTGGCTAATGGCATGACAAACTCATGGTAAAATGAAGATTAATACTGATTCACCTTATTAGAAGTAGTTTATGACCTTGCAGTGAAGGAGACTTCAATATTGTCTGTTGCTGAAGGATCTTCCTGGTATGTCACAAGACCCCCCCCCCATACTGCCCCCTCCCCATTAATACTACCACTCTATAAGAGAATATGCCTGTTTCTGTGTAAGGCTGGAGGTCGGATATTTGGGGGAAAAAGTTAAATACTTTGACAAACATTAGCATTTATAAAGAACCCCCCCCCCCACTGCAATTTTCGTGGAGTCAAATGTAAAATATTTGGTTGTTTCCCTATAGAGTTTTCAGTGCTTCTCAATAAATTTTTCGAGACTTGTACAGTTGTTTCAGTGCTTAATAATATATTTTTTCTGAGAGAAGGGTGAAGTGGGAAAAGCAGGGGAGGAAGAGGGGGTGATGTAGGGAGGGGAAGAGGGGTGATGTAGGGAGGGGGAAGAGGGGGTAATGTCGGGAGGGGAAGAGGGGGTGATGTAGGGAGGGGAAGAGGGGGTGATGTAGGGAGGGGAAGAGGGGGTGATGTAGGGAGGGGAAGAGGGGGTGATGTAGGGAGGGGAAGAGGGGGTGATGTAGGGAGGGGAAGAGGGGGTGATGTAGGGAGGGGAAGAGGGGGTGATGTAGGGAGGGGAAGAGGGGGTGATGTAGGGAGGGGAAGAGGGGGTGATGTAGGGAGGGGAAGAGGGGGTGATGTAGGGAGGGGAAGAGGGGGTGATGTAGGGAGGGGAAGAGGGGGTGATGTAGGGAGGGGAAGAGGGGGTGATGTAGGGAGGGGAAGAGGGGGTGATGTAGGGAGGGGAAGAGGGGGTGATGTAGGGAGGGGAAGAGGGGGTGATGTAGGGAGGGGAAGAGGGGGTGATGTAGGGAGGGGAAGAGGGGGTGATGTAGGGAGGGGAAGAGGGGGTGATGTAGGGAGGGGAAGAGGGGGTGATGTAGGGAGGGGAAGAGGGGGTGATGTAGGGAGGGGAAGAGGGGGTGATGTAGGGAGGGGAAGAGGGGGTGATGTAGGGAGGGGAAAATGGGGGATGTGGGGAGAGGTGGGAAGGAATGGAATGAGGGGAGAGAGAGACTATCCCATGCACTGCCAGGTACCACTTTTCAGTTACAAAAAAAAAAATATGTTAAGAGTACTCAGCTAGTCCAGTGGCTCAGTGAGTCAGTGGAAAGGTTCCGAGAGTAAGGGCGAGTTAGCAATATGAGGAGGCGGGAAGGAAGCAACTTGTAGTTTTATTCTTCACAAACGGAGGTTGCCAAGAATCTTCCCGTCTTGCACCTTATATAAGACAGCATGGTGATATCTATAAACCCCTACATTACATATGGTCTAAAAGATCTCTAACCTTATCCTTGGAGTAAGTAATTATCAAAAGAGTACTTACTTACTCCAAGGTAAGTAAGAGTAAGTAATTATCAAAAGAAGACACCAAGCCAGGAAGGCTATGTAGCACCATCAAATGTGCAGAATAATCATAAGTCACTAAATATCACTAAGGATGCCAATATGAGAACAGAAACACATAAGGTGAATGATATCAAAGGTACCCGATTCACCAAGAATTCTATCGAGGGGGACAAGTGACTAATTGTTGTAAATGAATGGTCACAGCTGTAGTAGAAAAAATCCCTTCTAGAGAATCTGGTGATAAAAGGCAGCTAGGGGGTGGAGAACACAGGAAAAGAAGAAAACGAATAGTAGGAAAAGTAAAATTGGTTGTCACAGCATTTGTAAAGAATATCCAACAAGTAGAAATTCCTAGGCTGTTTAAACTGCATAACAGTGCAACAGTTTAACCAAACAATATTACATTGGAGATACACCCAAGTTTTACTTTTGTTGAGACCTCTTGCATAACATGGAGAAACAAGCCATGTCAAACAAGTATGATGTGGGATAGGGATGCAACCCAATCCTCTCATACAACCTCTTTCATGAAGTCAAAGAGAAACTGGAGAATGAGAGCCAATGTGGAGTCATTAAGGCCTTCGACTCAATTAAGTTGCATGGTAGTGGTCAACCCATCCTCCTGTTTAGATAGTAGTTTTTGTAACTATTTGCACCATAGTACAAACATTGATGTACTAAGCAATTAGATACAGTAATAGAATTTTGTACTATTCACTCACTTTATGGAGTCCAAAAAAATGAAGCTAAAATAACAAACTTAAATATCCCTAGGAATAGTATAGCACACAACTGTTCTGTAGTAGGCCTCAGATATTGTTTATTGGGCTGAGAAAGGTTAGGTTAGTTTAGTTTGTCTTTGCAACATAATCTCTATAGCCTTAACATAAATCTACATAGTCTCCAGGGCTTGGCGCCTTCTTTTGATAATTACTTACTTATGTATAAATAGAAAATCTTTTTCCGGTTTGTCCAAATTCAATACAATATTACCGATTTCTACTTTCTAATTGTGTTGTATGTCGGTGTATGTACTATGGTTCTCATCATTACTATAAATACTACCAAAACAAGAGAATGGGCTGTGGTGGTACTAAGGGAGGAGGGTGATGCGACTCTCTGCCTTGGTTTTAAGATGCTGAATGCAGTAACTGAATTTGGTGCCAAGACTTTGTCTGGCAGAAAGAAATACTGTACTGACAAGGCTAGCCCCTCAGCCATTTTTTCTCAAAATATGATAGAAAATATCATAGTTGTTATGTTGAATGCAAATTTTGCTACAATATACCTATTAAATAGTCCTCAAGTTATGCTACAATGTATCTGTTGATAATCCTCAAATTTTACTACAATGAACCTATTAATATTCTTCAAATTTTCTTACAAATTATCTACTTAAAATTATCTTTTAGATTAAGGGCCTGCCCAAAACGCTATGCGTGTTAGTGGCTCTGCAAGAATGTAAAAACATCAATGCTATGTACTGTACTTTCATAAACCCAACGTACCATCTTGTATATATATAAACAATATACAAACAAAATAAATGATCAAACAAAAGGCTTTTGGCAGAGTAAGTTACATTCAAATAGCTGATAGTGCACAGTGTTCTCCATATCAGAAGGTCTCTACCAGTTAATGATCCTACTGTTCTGTCTGGTGAACACACCTGAAGCATTTACCAGGACTATGAGGCCAATTTTTGGATACATATGGCATGCAGGATTGAGACATTCCTAGACAATGTACTAATTCAAATGGCCATCTGGGAAGGGCATGTCAAGCCTGCTAGGCAAGTTCCACAAAACCAGCCTTGTGTCAAGACCGTCAGAGGTGGAAGTTGGGAAGTTTAGGCCACTTGGTATTGGGTAGGGTGAGGTCACCCTATCTTATACAAGCCCTTCAGACTTTCTCTCGTGTTCTCTATATCCTAATAATCCTAAACTGTATTTCGAATTCAGATCAAAACTACTTTCTAAAGGATTGCAACAGGACCTAAGTGTGCCACTGGGGAGCCGAGCGGACAGCACGCTGAACTTGTGATCCTGTGGTCCTGGGTTCAATCCCAGGCGCCGGCGAGAAACAATGGGCAGAGTTTCTTTCACCCTATGCCCCTGTTACCTAGCAGTAAAATAGGTACCTGGATGTCAGTCAGCTGTCACGGGCTGCTTCCTGGGGGTGGAGGCCTGGTCGAGGACCGGGCCGCGGGGACACTAAAGCCCAGAAATCATCTCAAGATAACCTCAAGGAAGATCTCAAGAAGATAGCCACACAAGATGTACAGAAGGTCAAAATATAGAGCACAGTAAACTACCAAAGGACACCAAAGACTGTAAAATACTGTACTCATTACATTATATTTAAAATAAATCATAATGAACTAATAGTAAATTAAAGATACAGTATATTTTTAGTTGCTTATGTATACTAGTATTGTACCTTACATTCTCAGGTTTTTATATATAATAGTGAACTAACTTGTGATCAAATATTTTCCTTCAAGAATTGCAATAAAAAATGAGTATGTGGTGTACATATAATTAATATTATATATATACTGTGTATATGTGTATATGTGTATATGTGTATATGTGTATATATATATATATATATATATATATATATATATATATATATATATATATATATATATATATATATATATATATATATATATATATATATATATATATATATATATATATATACATACACATATACACAGTATATATATATACACACACACACACACACACACATATACACACACAATATATAAATTTGCATGTATGCAGATGTTAGGAGCCCTACTCTTCAGTCATAATTGCATAAAAAGAATGGAATGATTACTTATATCAGTATCTGTCACCCAAGCAAACTGCGATGACAGGTTATTAAACAAACCAGCAAACTAGCTAATAAACCAATAACATCAACAACTTTAGATACAACTAAAGCTGTACCGATACCAATACTTTGACTGTTACAGATATCGTTATTAACCGATACTGTATTTAATATTTTTTGTCAGCTGTCAGAACTATGCCACCTGCATAACAAAATGTCAACATCAATATTGCAAAAGCAGTTAGATACTACCAATACAGTGCATCGGTACATCTCTAGTTAGAACATAGCATCATGATGTAATAAATAATCTCAATACAAACATTAAGATATTACTTAAAGACTTATTACAGTAGTATAATCCTTATACTCAAAATATTCTACTTGTGTCATTCTAAATTAGTTTTAATTTTACATATATTACAGAAATTGCCCATATTTGTTGTCAACTCAATATCCTGTTACTCACTTTCTTAAGTAACAATTAAATGTTCTTTATAGTACATAATTATGCTATACAGTATGTAGTTATCTCATAATACCATATTTCTATTTATAATTCTAATTCAGCACTCAAAGTCATCAAATATTAATGATGCACAATTCTCTGTAACCTTCAAAGTCACATGACTATACATCATTACCTTTTAACAAATTAATTCAGTAAAATATCTTCATCATTATGTCAGTAACGATAGGTGTTAGGGGCAAACAGTTATTCTTTCCCATTGTTAGGAATAGGAAGGCTGTTAGACCAATAGCTAATCATCTCCAATTGGCTAGCTGCAAGGGTACCTAGAGTACTTCCCCCCCCCATTACCTACAGTAGTTAAAGCTAGGTGAACAAACGCATCATCTGAAAGGAAACATGTCAAAACTTGTCCTGTCCTGCTTGGAGTTAAAACCGGGATCTTCTGATCATGAACCAACTCCATTGGCGATTACAATAAGTAAATTTTATTTGCTTATTGCAGTTTATTAATAGGTGAAATCTACACAAACTGTATTTTGGTTTAACGAAATTTGCTCTCAAAATATTTTCACAGAAAATATTTCTAATGGCATAAATCTCGCATCAGTTGAAGACTGCCGCTGCGGTATCCACTCCCAAAATGATTCCTGTGAATGGAGTTTGTAAAGCTAAAAAATTGTTAAAACAAAAGAAAGAAATGAGTTTTAAACAATGAAAAAAATGCAGTGGTAAAAGTTACTGCCAAAGATGGATATCTAGTAAGAGATCATGCCAACCCTCTAGATATTAATTGTAATTTTGTTTAAATCTAACAGGCAGGGCAGTGAGGGGTGGGTGTGGAAGATGGCTAGGATGGTGGGGACATTGATCCTTGGAATCACCGCAAGGTATGGCTAGAGTTGGGGAAGGTTGACTGGCATGCTGTCTGTGTGATTGACTGACCGGCTAGCTTGCTGGCTGAATTGCTCACAAGCAGACAGTTTGACTGGATGTCTAGTTGTCTTGCTGGTCCACTGGCTGAATGGCTGGTTGGCTTGCAAGTGGGAAAGCAGACATACAAATTGAAAGACAAGCAAGCTGACTGACTGACTGACAGGCAAGCATGTTGGCTGACTGGCTGGCTAGCATGTATTGATGTTTGAAAAGTGCCAGTGGCGCTCAAACATGCCCTCCCCACATTATAATCTAGGTTAGAAAGAAACCCTTGGGGATTATAATGAGAAGGATGAGTTCTCCACATTATGGTACTGTATGTAATAGCAATATATTATGTCAATTATATCTTGTACTAAGTAAGAATGGACGAGAAAATGACCCGTATCCTTACACTCATTTAGTATTAAATGTTTTTCTCATTAAACCTATAAATAACCTAACTGAATTATTTTAAGTTATGGCCAAAATGCTTTGTGTATTAGTACTTATATTTAACACTTTCGCGCTATCTGGACGCGCCGGCGCGTTCGGTTTCGTCTAACGTAAACGCATAGTGGACATAAAGTTATGTCTACTTTTAAAATATTTGTATAAAATTCAATTTTTATCCGATTTACTTTGGGTTTGTTTCAAACTGCGCGCTATGAGGCTCTCTTTCTCACCACTAGGCTGCATGGTACAATAAGCTCATGAAAGGTGTGGATAACTTCGATCAAATGGTATTTTGTCCCAAACGGGTTGCAGGTGGGTGACTTTAGCCGTTTATACTGGTAATTCTTCCCCCATATCATGTATTATATGCATATGTCTGTTTAGGGAATTTTATCCCGATCAATATACAACCAAAAATAACTGTGTGCAACAAGTATAATCTTGACAAACATAACAAAAGTAAAAATATTTCGTGTGTGTTTGACGCTTACTGATATGTTCCAGCGTTGTTTTATATTTGTCGCTATTCTAACTTACGCTTTGTTGATATTTTTTACCTATGGGCACATAGAACATTCTATTGCGAACACATTGACATAAAAATGAATGACGTACATAGAAAATTAATGTCATGAGAGTGAAATAAGTATAAACTTTCAAAGCGCCGTGCGTCGTCCCGTCACCGATACCGGGTAACAATTTCACCACTTCCCACACTCTTGCGGGCGGGCTGCATTATTATTCTACGCTTATATTCATATCACCGTGTTGGGAATTCATTGCGAGTCCATTGATACCAAAATTAACGCTGTAGAACAGGTGTGGAGGTGATTACAATCCCAAGAGTAAAAACATTTTGTTGCTGATGGGCGCTCACGGCGAGTCATCTACGTAGTTATTTATTTGGTGCTGGTATCCCTATATGTTTCGTGACTTATTTTACTAATGTTCTTCTAGAGAATTTTATTGCGAACACGTTGGTACCAAAATGAAATACGTAGCATGAGAACTAAGGTCAGAAGAGTAAAAAGAGTATACACATTTTTGTTTTTACGCTTAAGCGATAAAAATGCAGCGCGCACATTCGGTTGGCTGAGTGACCTTTGTGGAGAGCGCGAAAGTGTTAATATACAACCTCAATACCTACAAAGAAACCACTGTAATATGTTCTTGTATATATTTCATGAAAAAAAGAATACAGTATTATTATTATTATTATTATTATTATTATTATTATTATTATAATGCCCTGCCTGCCTGCCAGGTAACCATGACAGAGCTAAACTGGAATATGATCTAACAATTTACCCAACAAAAATACCACATTTTTCTTAAGATAATGATTGAGAGACTGTATTAAAAAATGAGACTATACAGCTACTGTACATAGTATAAAAACATTAGTTCAAATGCACCATGAATGACTTCCATGGTACGATGTCAAAAAAAAAAAGATGAAATAAAATTTAAGTTTTTGTGCAATACAGTACTAGTTAAGCAGGCAATGAGTCACAATAACGTGGCTGAAGTATGTTGCCCAGACCACACACTAGGAAGTGAAGGGACGACGACGTTCCGGTCCGTCCTGAACCATTCTCAAGTCGATTGTGATGATCATCACAATCGACTTGAGAATGGTTCAGGATGGACCGAAACGTCGTCATCCCTTCACTTTCTAGTGTGTGGTCTGGTCAACACAGTACTAGTTAGCTGCTACAATAACTACAACAGTATAGTTAACTTTAATAATTCTTTATTATAAAGGATGCCAGTATAACTTCATTCTGTGGCACATTCTTGACTAAATAGTTCATAAGGTGTAAACCATTTTTAAACAATACATTACCGTACATACCAGTGATTAAGATTATGGAAGAGTTTGTAAAGTTTGTGTCTATTATTCCAGCCCGGAGCTTTGGGAATGATGCCGTGATACTCGTCCCAAAACCTTCGACTGAAGCCCCCAAACATTGCTGAGATTGCTAAATCATATTCATGATGTCCATAAAAAGAAGCTGGGTCAAAGATCACTGAAAATATAAGAAAGGTATAAATGAAACTGCAGAAGCCCTATTGGCCCCATGCAAGGCAGCTCATATTTATACCAAACAAAATTCTTTCTCATAAATACATATATATATCAGACTTACCTATTTCCTTAGATGTGCTCCCTCCTTCGACAGCCCAAAATTAACGGAATATGACTCGCTCCTAAAGTCAATAACTATGAGTGTTAAATCTCTCCCTGCAAGATGACCAATGGGACCAAGCAACGCTCCCAGTTAGACTCGGGGTTATAGGTATTTGCAAGACGACACAGTTAGCATTGCCGGCATTCTTATCCTCGACCAGTGCTACAAGTGATTTAGTGAATGAAATGCTACCAAAATACCTAAGGAACTTCACTGGGACTCATGATCCCAAATTTGTGGAAGGAGCTGGTCAGTGGGACACTCTTGCCAACTCTCACCCTCCACCAACTTTTCCAAATGACGGCAGAGGCCAAATGGGATAGCCCCATAGTGGAGAACAGTGCCACAGCATTGTTGGAGGCAGCTTCTGGGAAGGACAGAGCACGTCTTCTAGCTGTGCAAACCCCCCATGCCGGAGACTTCCTGTTGGCAGTCCCTAACTCCACCTTGGGCACCCACCAGGACCATTGGGCCCTAAGTATTGGTGTGGCCCTGCGTTTTGCTGGTCCACTGGCTGTCTCCACTGAACACCGGTGTATTTGCGGCCATGCACAAGCAGACCAATACGGCAGCCATGGTCTTATCTGTCGTAAGACAGGGAAAGATTGCCAGATATGAAGCAGTCAATGACATCATCAAGAGAAGTTTGGCTACAGCTGGGTGTCCAGCACAAAGGGAACCTCAGTTGTGCAGACCTGACAACAGCCAAAAATGCCCAGGTGGAGTCACCCCTGCAGCCATGGAGGGAAGGTAAACAGGTTGTATGGGATTACACGTGTGCATCTACATTGGCTGATATCTATCTACCTTACAGCACAGCTGAGGGAGGCAGGGCAGCCACCTTCAGGGAGACCCAGAAAACCAACAAGTACAGAGACCTAGAACGTTGTTACAGGTTCATGCCGATAGGCTCTGAGACCTTGGGTGCCTGGGGTAAATGTGCACTTAAGTTCCTAAAGAAGGTGGGCGAGGACCTCATTGGGAAAACTAAAGACTCACGAGCAGCCAGTTTCCTGTTCCAGTGCCTCAGTGTCGCAATTCAGAGAGGAAATGGGTGCTGTACCCTGGGTACGCACCCAACCTCTGAGGAGCTGGATGAGGTCATCGAACACTGATTGTTATATTGCCATATATATGTGTGTGTGTTCTCTGTAAACTGTAGCATTGCAATAAAATAAAATGAAACAAAATAAAACAAAATATACTTAAAAAAATAATGGGGGTGGTAGGAGAGGGAAAGATTAAAGTCTTCAGTGAGAATCCACAAGGTCTTCTCTGAATACCCTTTTTCTTCTTCTTCGAGGCTGTGGGTCCCTACAATTGCACCAGAGGTGGTACCCCTATTATATATATATATAAAATCAGACACACACACAGGAGCTAAAGTAGTCCAGGTGTGGGAGCGTCCTTCGCAGCCTCACAGTCTGCAGGTCAAACCCAAATATGACCGGAATGCTATTTTTTATAAGGAAGCGTCGTGGTCAGACTGGAAGGTCGAACCCGGTGTTCACGAGATCACCAGTTCGATCTCCTCTCTAGGCTTTCTTTCTTTCATATATTGGCCACAAAATACTTTAGTGAGTGTCCTCTGTGGCTTCGCAGTCCGGAGTTCCACCCAACTGAAATTTGCTTCTTTGAGTGTCCTCTGGGGTCCTCAGCATCTCCAGGTCGAGCCAATGCACGAGAGAAAATCTTTCTTTGCTGGGAAGATGGGACACCACGAGCGTAGCTCTCATCCTGTAACTACACTTAGGTAATTACTCACACACACACATGCACGTGCCAAGCTTGAATGGTCCCCAAACCAAATGTATCAGAAAAACGTTGCAGCAACCTACACCCAAGTGGGGTCAAAGGGGGCCCAAGCATGCAACACGGATGCCGCCTGTACCCAAATATCAATGTGTATAAGAATGGGTAAATTGGAGAACAAGCAAAGAGCACGAATATCAACTCGCAAGACTTCGGGTCAAAGGTGTCGTTGACCCAACAGGCAGCATGACGAAGGCAAAAGCGGTGACTGTCAGAGACAAGGGCACACAGCAACCTTCAAACTCGCACGAGGCGAAATGGAACTCGGAAGATGCATCCATAGGTCCACTGAGCCCCGACAGGCTTTTCCAGGGCCCATAGGCTGACTGCTATGGGAAGCCCAGGCAAGTGTTGCTAACCGGATAGACCCAAAGCTAACAAGGGGGAGATCAAAACACTGAAGCCCCTGCAATGGGTACAATCACGGGGGCCTAGTGGAGAGCCATCAAAATATTATAAGTCTTCCTAAAGCCACACCAGGCAGACCCCTCACCAGGCAAACAAAACAAAAAGTAAAAGAAAAGTACAATGTCCCCAGAGGAAACAGGAACTGGCCGCTTCATAGGTAAGTTGGCTGCGCGATACCATGATGCCCCAACCAGCAACAATACCACTCCCTACTCAAGGCCAACAAGGGCCATGAAACCCCAGCTGGTCCCAAGGGTGGAGTAAATGCCGAGCAGCAAAAATCACTAAGGAAATGACATCCTGAAAGCACCAGGGTAGAGAACCCTGACACTCAATGGTAGTACTCACAGGGCACTTAGGGAAGGCTGCCCTAAGTGCATGTGGAACTGTACACCTGGCCAGCACACCACAAACAGTAGAGGACACCACTAAGGCAAAACACTGCCAGGAAACCGAAGCCAGAGTTAACGACCACCCCGGATTGCATTAGCCAACGAACTGAAGTTGCTGGGTAGCCTGGGTCCAGGGCTCCTGGGGAGGGGAGGGCTGCGCATACAAGTGACACGGCAGTGAGGTGTGACGTTTGCTTGTTTCCTTGGGAACTGAGGAAGTTCTGCCTCTCTGTTCAGTTTTCGGTCACAATTTTCTTACCATATGGGGTCTGTTTTGTTATGCCTACCTTTCTGGGTGCCTAACCCCTGTCAATGGCAGATAAGGAAAACCCCAACCACAGGGGGGTTTTCCAGGGGGGGCCATTGCTCCCTGTGCCTCTCTGAGGAGGCCAGGTTCTGGCTCAGTAGGCTGAACTCCATTGACTAATGCCCTGGTCTAATGTATCGTATATTAGCCCAATAGCTCCATGAGCTGGAAGGGCTCCCCACAGAAATTAATATAATCATCACCATGAATTTAAGTTCTCTAGCATATCCAATGTAAAATACAGTATATTTTTATATTTAAATAAATAAACATTACATAAATGCAATGAAAGATGCCAACAATGCCAAAATAGGATTTAACCCAGATCATGCTGTACAGTGCTCCTTTGATTTGGTGAACATCTGGTTGCAATGCACACTTTGCAGGCTGAATTTACTCACCAGCTCCTCTGAACCAGATGTTTTTGGTTCTGTGGAGCCAGAGGTGTACAAATTTCCTCAAGATGCGCAGCTAGGAATCATCAACTTATCACCTGGAAGGTTTCAATATAATAAAACATGCATAAAACAAAGTGACTTAATAGCTGATTATTATCCTAATATTACTAGTAATCTTTAACCAGAATTACACAATATGATGTACATCCAGTACCTGAGGAAATAATTCTGGCTAACACCTCAACAGTGGATGGGCTGGCCTGAGTTTATTTTTTATTTTTTTTATTTTTTTTGTTGACTTTTGAATTACTGAATATGGATAAACTGGAAACTTTTTTAACTGTAACATAATTATAAGATCTAACCCTAATCTCTCCTGGCAATTTTAGGCCTAATATGTGCTATCTTAGGTACTGTCTAATAGTTAGTTTAGTTCATTTATTATGCACCCCATACCCATCTTGTGGGCGTAGTGGAAAGGGTTACAGAGGCACATAATGGGCTCAGGGAGTACAGTACACATGTGCTATACCAGGCTTCAGATTATTTAAATTTGGTTTTAGCTTTATTTTTTCAGACTAAAATTAATACAGCACAAAAAGTGGTTTACTATTAGTCCATCACTACATATTACAGTAGTACAGTACTTTGACCAATTAAGTACAGTAATTATCAAAAGGAGGCACAAAGCCGGGAAGACTATGAAGCACTACCAGTGTCAGAGGATAATCAAAAGATGCTAAATATCACTGAGGATGCCAATACAAGAATTAAGGCAAACAAGGTGAACGATGTCGACGGTATGAGATTAACTATGGATTCTGCAGATGATGAGTCACAATAACGTGGCTGAAGAATGTTGACCAAACCACACACTAGAAGATGAAAAGACAATGACATTTCGGTCCATAATGGACCATTATGAAGTCTCACAAGTCAAGAGGCGTGCAAGAACTCTTCCTCTCGATAACCACCTCACTTCTGCATGGAGAAGGAGATGTTGGTGGTGAGAGTCCCTACTCTCTTACAGTGTGCCATGAGAGTATCACCACACTGCAACAATGTAATGCCCAAATCACGTGGTGGCTACATGATTCGGGCGAAAGTTTTCACGGACTGTCAGGAAATTTGTCCCCCCTTTCCCTGCAACACTAGTCCACAGATCACAGGTTGAAATACACTGTCATAAAGACATCTTTGATTGTAGTGATCCATCACTGCAATGAATCAAGGTTGGTCCCATATAGTCCACAGTATTGAGGTTGCACTGTATTGTCATTGTAAAATTATCATTATACAGTACATACCAGGGCAATCAGTCGTCTCTGCTGCATTACCACTCCATAGGTCTCCATGGAGAAGAGATGGCTTTACCTCTATATTTGTAAAATACTGAGGAATCTTCAGCTGAAGATGAGACCAAAGTTCTCTAGCTTCACGATCTCCATACTGCCATGTGAGGAAACAATAATTTTGTTATCAACTAAACAAGAAAAAATAAAACAAGTCTACTAAACTGTTTAGATACAATAATAATTAAAATAGTGCCAAAACTAAAAAATCTAAATCAAATTGAGGACGCCCCATTTGAGTTTGCCGAATTTCTTACCAGGAATGTGAAAAATCCAGCGTGGGATAAATCTTTCTATGTTGTACAATAGTAAAGGAATTAGGCTAAAATTAGTTATGATGAAGATGGGCACGCTTATTCCATATATCAAATTGATACTGGTATACCAGTGTTGAGGACAGGAAGCCTATATACTTTTCCCTTTTGTAATCCGATTTCACATTATTTTTTCCTTCCTTCACCACAATACAGTACAGTATTGTACTTCACACAAGAGATCCACCTTTGTTCTTTAAATGAAGGTGCACTTGGGATGCACACAAATTCGTTCTTCTTGGCAGTTTTGTGCTTTCCTTACCGGCTCTTCAAGGTTGAGGTTCAGTGTTTGCTTAGTCAAGAAGATTTCCTTGCACATCACAAAGTGTGCAAAACATTATAGGACAAAGAGTGCTGGGAAGACAAGACACCACGAGCGTAGCTCTCATCCTGTAACTACACTTAGGTAATTACACACCTGCCTGCCTGCCTGTGCGATGGTCCAGGTAGCTGGTATCCCTCATCCCAGTAGTGTCCTCCTGTCTCATCTGCATTGCCAGTATGGGGTATGACTTACCCGTCCAATTCCATACCTGGCTTGGTAATTTACCTTTACTGTGGATATTTTGCCTTGTGGATGCAGGAGTGTCCTCTTCTCACCTTTTTGGGGCTTCTGCATGCCTTTGGTCTTGTGATGGCTGTAGGCCTCTGTCCTCAACTTGGTTGACTCTACATTGTCTTTCCTTTCCTAAGGCTCCTGGAGGATCAGCAGCACAGTCTATCTGGATGGTCTGAGGGCATCCAGATGCCGATCTTCACATAGGGAATTTTTAGCCCTTTTCGACAGTGACAAGATACAAAGCTCCTCAGATAGTAGTGAAGCAATTTTTTTTTTTTAATTTAAAGTACAGCACAGGTAATACAAATTTGTTGTAAGTTAATTATGTACTGCATTGTAAGATAAATATGAATATGCATAACTGTGATTGTAAACTTCGTAAACAGTGGAAGATAAAATTAATTCATAGCTTGTCTTCTCATATATAGTAGTTCATTTACTATATACCAAAGGAGATCAGCTTAGGATATGGAAATATAGAAAGCCATCACATTCTCTAATCCACTCTACCAAATTCCAGCTGGTGCTTGGAAATGGAATATTGAAATATGACCACCACATCACTCCAAACAATCCACTTTTATCAGGTAAGTGGCCTACTGACTGATGTGCCTTACTTATGATCATAAGGTCCCAGGATTACCCCCTTCAGGACTCATATCAGATAAATACAGTCACCATTATATACTAATAAAACTTCTTAATCTTTAGCTATAAGTATATAAAAGTCTTGTAGTACACTTCTTGACTCACAATCAGGGATCCCAGGTTCAATTTCCTGGTGGAACAGGCATAGTTAAGCACAATTCCTTTCACCTAATCCCTGTTTATCTAGCAGTAAATAGGTACTCAACCATTAAAGAACTGTTGTGGGATTGCATCTTTGGGAGGATCAGTAGTTCTACTTAAGGGAACCTCGGTACATTACTGTATCGATATACACACACAGGCTTCCTGTCCCCGACAACGAGTTATTATACTTGAACAGTACTTCCCTTAGCTTCATAAAGTTATTAAAGTTTTACTGTGCCCACTCATAATGTCTCAATTATCTAAGTTGCTATACACACTTTCCACAACCATTTACCACCTACTTTTGTTGAACTATATATGAACTAATATTTTACAATGAATTTATTAAATCACAACTTATAAAATTTTACCTTTCAAACAATATCATTTTTACAAGTAGTACCAACAGGTGTTACCTGCCTCATTCTCGATCATTGACAACTGCTGCTGAAGCTTTCTTGTATAAAATACCTGAGAGTGTATAAGAAATATTATACATTAAATCAGAAATGCTAATCATCTTGGTGAGTGACATCTTTCTTACACTACTTGTACACATTTACAGACTGGGGGGTGTCTGCAGAGTTTGTCAAACATATTTTGATTATTAATTAGCATTAAATCTTGCTAGAACCATACACCAATACAGTACTGTACTTCAAACACTTACAATAGCAAGTTATATTACACACAGAAATCACAATAACGTGATGCATCAAATGAACACATCCACAAGGGCCATGACGAGGATTCGAACCAGCGTCCAAGAGCATCCCAGACGCTGCTATAGCTCAGTCGATTAAGGCAGCGTCTGGGATGCTCTTGGACACAGGTTCGAATCCTCATCACGGCCCTTGTGGATTTGTCCAGCAAGTTATATATTTGCATAGCATTTTAGCGAGTACAAACAATATACTCACTCCAACCTTTCATTAGCTTAATGGCATAACTAATTAGCACTAATTACAGAAGCTATAATCCTTTCCCTAATTACAGGTAACATTCTTTCCATCCTGTTGGAGGAAGCTGAGGTGTAGTCACCGAATATAAGCAAGAAAAAAGGGAATAGTCGACAGTACAATTTCCACAGTGATTCAGAATCACTCACGATTCCCAATTGAGCCGCCACTCTCTCCCGCATAGAGCTCTGTGACTTCGGCCTCACTCAGCTCCAAGCTCTGTCTCAACGTCTACGACACTGCCAACAACCGACTACTGTAATCAAGACCACTAAATAAATATGAAACCCACTAAACACTGTATCTAATCTACCCAACAACGTAACATAATCGTACATTACAGCTTGCACATATTAAGTAAAAGATATGTATAATGGTGTTGCAAGTCTTCAGGATAGGATAAAACAACAAGTCAGCAAAGAAAACAGCGAGACCACCAGTTGGATATTTGGAATTACGAAGGAACTACTGTCATAAAGAGATGGATTGCTGACAAGCATTTGGAGACCAATTGATGTCGGATTGATGTTATATGAGCTGTGTGTTTTGAGTGATTTCGAGCCGGGATAGTCCCAGAATCTGCCGACATAGAATGCCAAGGGTTAGTTAGTTAGTTTAGTTCATTTATTATGCACCCCATACCCATCTTGTGGGCGGTAGTGGAAAGGGTTACAGAGGAACATAATGGGCTCAGGGACTGAACCCCACAATTCATTTAGCTAAGCAAGTTACAATCTTGGTGAGCTAGTTACAAAATTCAATGTAAGTCGTCACATCAACAATGGGTTCGAGATCGACCTCAAGTACAGGTTCTAAATTAAGCAACTGACATATGTGGAGAGGGTGTGGAAATTTCTATAACTTCATGGTGTGAGTAGATAATATCAGTTCTACTTCTAATTCTCTTCATCATCCCTAACTTTGTGATATAAATTGTCTACTATATGTCTCACTGTGCTATACACCTATATAGTTCAGCCAGTATTGTAATAATTTGTGCAAGTTTTTACAAATAAAGTTTCTAATTCTGATAATGGCACTATCTACGTGCTATGCTGTTATTGTCGCTAATGTAATTACAGTACTGTAACTTTTATGCAAATTTTCCCAATTATAAATGTACAATCATACATCAATAAAGCTTTTGATTTGACTTAGAAAAAAAATAAAAAATTATTAAGAATCAGAACCAGTATTGAGTAAGAGAAAGAGAGAAAATGGTAAGAAAGATCAACTCGAAATTGGAACATGTTTGCTTAATAAGTAAAACACATGGAAAAATCAGGTCAAATGACCATATGAAGGCACAGTTGGCTCCAGCTTTATCATGTTACTAACGTGATTGTTAATTCAGCACTTAGTAAGTTTATTCCTAATGAAAACAAATAAAAAGCTCATCAAATAAATGAGTTTCTAGTGGTCGGGCTTCAGATGAGAGAGGCAAATGAAGATTAAAAACTCGAAGGGGGAGAGACCAGGACAGAAAACCCTACCCAGTGCAACACAAGCTCAACTAGGACCAGGGGTCGACCAGGTAATGAGCTCTGGACCCAGATATTAGCCAAAGACATTAGAAAATACTGTACAGTGGCAAGAGCGGCAAACTTTTGATCATTGTGGGCCCAGAGGTAGACCATAGGCTGGCTAGATTCAATAACACTGCAGATGACTTGAGATAAAATGAGTCTTGGAACAGGGTACAAGGAGACTGGATCAACAAACAATGCGTCTTCTGACATCGCATGTGGGTAGTAATGAATAGCCACACCAGATATCACAAAAGATGCACCCCTTGGGGAAACAAATCATGGATTAATAACCAAAAAGACACCAATGTAAGCCAACTGCCTTTTTCTTTGCCAGAAAGGAAGGCGATAGCTGCAGACAAAGAAACTGCCTGTCAGGGTCGAAGGAACAAAATTCCCACTTCTGGAGGAGAGCAAGAAGCTTCCTAACCTTACAACTGGAAGAGAAGGCCAACAAAAACAACCCCTGTAAAATGTATCACGGACTGAAGGGGCAACTGAGAACTGAGGAGACAAAAGAAAAATGAACAGCTTATCCAGAGGTCAAGATGGCTCGGGAGAAGAAGGAGCTGGCTGGAGGTGAAAAAAAACAATTTATGAAAAATCTCCAAGGAAATATTGATGCTGAAAGCCAACAAAAGCAGCTCTGCTAAGACTGAATGAAAGGAGGAGACAATATTAAGCAAAAGATGTCAATCAACAAACATGCAAGACAAAAAAAGACAAAGCTACTGGAACCAAGACAGACAGATGACAAAGAGGAATAGAAAGATGAACAGAGCACCAGGAGACCTCATACTGCTGGCACACGAAAATATGCAAGTGGGAGACTAATAGTTCAGCTACCTATGCATCATACAAATGCCAATACACCAGCATCAGAAACTCCAGATGTGAAGATCAGAGGAAAACTTCAAACCAGTGAGGACATGCCCAGACTGATCTTCTGAAAGAGGAGGAACCATGGAAAAATTCCCGGGATCAAATACCGGGTCTGAAGAGTCGGTAAGCAAGGAGCTATAAGGATCACCCTGCCCATGTAAGTCTCCAGTCTAGACAACACTGGGAGCAAACCCTTATCTGATTTCGAAACTAATACTGTATACAGTATTAAAAAAAGAAATTTAGAATAAAATTATCAAATGTTTTTTAGACTTTTCTTTCAAACTTTTGTATCACAAACTTTTACAGTACTATTAATAACTAATTATAACTTGTTTTGAGTAATTAGTTCTTTATTTCGTAGCTGCATGATTTCATTGACCTGGTAACAAATCCACAACAAATATCTTACCACCCAGTCATCACACCAGGTGTTGTCCTGCTCAAGAAAGCCACAACATGTTGTCACAGGAAAGCCAAACTGGCTCACATAAACGGGCCCATCTTCCTTGGAAAGGCCCACACGAGAGCTTTCAGTCTGGCTTGTCTTCTCTGCTTCAATATTGTGGAGGTGCAGTCTGAAAAGAATTGACAATAATTTCATTGCATTCAAAAATCCATCAATGAATGTAATGAAACTCCTCTTTCTGTTGAGTGATCCCTCAGTGGCTCCCTGTAGCTACTGTAATGAGATAGCCTCACTCCTGTCAGTCACATCAGTCCTTGCGAGTCCTTAATAGTCTACCAGAGACCAGAAGGTAAAACCTAGCCCTGTTCACAGAAGGCAGACAAACAATGCAGCAACTCCTCGGCAACTGATCCACTCAGTAGTTATATAGGTCCTACCCCCCTCCCCTCCACTAGTTACAGATAGCTGCTGCCAGATGGCAATTCTATAGGAGCTGCTATCTCCCTATGTGAACAATCATCAGTCCAGAACCAAATTGACCAACACACCTAGCATGGAAAAGAGGGGTCCAAGGAGAAACTGAATCACAGAGAAATGAAACCCCCCCAGAAAGAAGGGCTTTATTATATTCAACATTGGTTTTCTGGAGGGGGCCAAACAGTAGTTCCCTGTTGCTAACTACAAAAAAAAAAAAAAAATGGGATTCACCAAGGGAGGAGGAGAGTAAAGATCAAACCCCCTAAGGGAAGAAACCAGGACTGGATACCCTACCAAAGTAAACACAAGCTCGATAAGGACCAGGGACACTGACTAGGAAATGAGCCTCCAGGACCCTGGGAGACCTCAAAACCCTCGAGCCCAGATATCAGCCCAAGACAACAGAGAAAATACAGTGGCCAAAGCCACAAACTTCCAAACACCTTGTGCCCAATGGTAGACTGCAAGCCAGCTAAAATTTATGACCCTGCAAATTTATGATTTGAGACAAATGAGCATTGGAACAGGGAACAAAGGAGATTGGATCACTAAACAATGCATCCCCAAAGCAGCCCATGTTGCACTTTGGTAGTGATGAATAGTTGCAACTGTATACAACAAATGATGTACCCCCCTGGACAAACCAGGAAACAATAACCAAAAGCCCCCTCTGGAAGCCAACAGCCTTCTCATTCTTTGCATGCAAATGAGTTGTGGAAAAATGCTTAGGTTCACATGGAGTCAGAAGGGCTGGAAACCAAGGCAGAGCAGGCCACCCAGGAGCCAGACAAAGAGACAAAGTAAGGAGTTGGCAGGAGTTGTAACGAGCAACAGTGAGCCACTGTTCTTCCCCTCCAAAGATTCTACATTTACACAAATCTAACCCAATCTTCATATAATTATGTAAATAACATAGATAAAAAAAATATTTTCCTACACCATTATTGGTAATGAAAATAGAACATGATTACACATAATTGAAGTTGGAAATACAGTAATTTTATAATGAAAAATGACCAAAACAAAAACATAACTACCAGGTACCAAAATTTACCCATATTGACCTATACAGTAATTACAAAAATAAAACAGACAATTAAAATATTTTCCTAAAGCATTATTTGTAATGAAAGTACAACATGATTACACATACCTGACGTTGGATATATACTCATAACAAAACATTAATTCAAACAAAAACACTGTAGAGATTTTCCAAAATTGACCTAAAAGTACAAAAACAAAACATAATTAAAACAGAGTATTATTAGTAATGAAATTAAAAAACAATAACACATTTGCAGGGGATGAGTCACAATAACGTGGCTGAAGTATGTTGACCAGACCACACACTAGAAAGTGAAGGGACGACGACGTTTCGGTCCGTCCTGGACCATTCTCAAGTGAGAGAGTGCTTGTGCACAATCGACTTGAGAATGGTCCAGGATGGACCAAAATGTCGTCGTCCCTTCACTTTCTAGTGTGTGGTCTGGTCAACAAAATAGCACATCATTATTATTGGAAATTCGGTATAAACACTGGCAGAGAGTAAACCACCAGCCACTCATGCCTGGCACACCATGCAGAGTGCTGGGCTGGCATTCGTTATAAACTAGTACTAGTTGTCACTTAGTCTATAACTGTGATTAATAATGTGAGTGCAAAGCCAGGCTACATATAGAGTAGGTATTTTGTACTTTCACAGCGAGTGTTTTGTATACGAAACAAAATATTTCATGAAAATACTGTATTACAAACCACATCATCAAATTTGCAGATGACGCTAAGATCTATGGTCAAGTGGGAAGTGAAAATGATATTGAGAACTTACAAAGAGATCTGCATGAATTCCACAAATAGAAGACTGGCAAATGCTTTTTAATGTTGATAAATGCAAGACCTGGCATGTGGGGCATAACAATCCATGTCACAACTACCAAATTAACAGCACTATCTTACAGCAGATTGATGAAGTAAAGGACCTTGGAGTCAGAATCCATCATTCACTGAAAGTTGCACAACAAGTGGGAGTGGCAGTAAAAAAAACTAACCACACCCTGGGAATAATCAAGCGTACCTTTACCTTTAAAGAAAAGAAGGTGGTCATTCAACTGTACAAGTCTCTGATGCACCCCCACCTGAATTATTGCAACTAGGCAACTAGACCTAGTTGCCATAGTTGCCTGATCATCTTCAGAAAGACATAGTTGCTCTGGAGAAGGTGCAACACCGGGCAACTAAAATCATTCCAGAGCTACGTCATCTCTCCTATCAGGAATAGTTAAGGGCCACTGGGCAAACAACAATGCAAACCAGGCATGACGGGGCAGATTTCATCGAAACCTTTAAAATACTGAAAAATTTGGAGTGTGTTTATCCAGACAATTTCTTCAAAATGTCAGATGTAACACGAACAAGGAACAACGGTTTAAAGCTCAACAAGCCACAGTGTAGGATTGAGAACAGGAGGTGCTTTTCATCCATTTGGTTATAAACCCATAGAACTATCTACCTGCCAAAACTAATAGAAAAATTCTGAGACTTTTTTGTAAAGGATTTGATTGGAACATAGATCAAGATTTTTAATAGTTGCAATGTTATAAATGGGAGATGCATTCCCAGGCCACAAAACAAACGGAGATACATGGTAATAACGAGCACTAATGATAATTCACAATAGCACTCACCGGGAATATTATCTCAGCAGCTTTGTCTGCACATCATGCTTCTTGTTACAACACATTTCTTACTCTCTTCTACTGCTACTTCCATGGCTCATGCTCTCGGGAACTTAGTTGTATACTTCACCTTCACGTATAATCATGGCTAACAACACAGAGGAGATTAAACTATTATAGGTTATAACCTAAGTTAGGTCCCAGGATGTTGGTTGTTGGACCCAGGATGGCCCAAAGATACAGCTGTGTACCCAACACCTAGACTTCTATAAACATTATTTGTTTAATCCACAGCCATATTGTGGAGAAGTCTGTCAGTCTACAACCGTACATCTTTTCTGACACCTTTGACTTTTAATCATTCAAGACGTGTCTCTGAAGTTGTCTTTTTGACACTAGCTAATATTTTTGCATATACTCTACTGGTGAAACTTTATTAAGTGGGCAACATTGCAAATTGAGACCTGCAACAAGTCACCACCTTCCTGCCCCACTGAAACCACTAGAGATGGCAGAGAGGACCAATATCTAGTATAAACACACTTTTGGTTTTGCAACTATTCTCTTGACAATTCATTTGTTAACATTTTGACACCAAATTTATTATAACCCAATGAATAAGTTAGAAAACATTAAATGACTGTACAAAACAATTTGCTCCCTGGGCGGCTCACAGGCCGCCCAGGGAGCCGGGAACATTTACATTCGGAATGTGCAGAGGTTGGACCACAAAGGTGTTCAAGCACATTCTATGTGCAACAGGTCTTGTATAGACCGGTCGTCAAACTAAAATAAATGGCAAAAAGGTTCACTGGTCATAAGTAGATAGACAAAGACATTCTCACTAATCTATACAGTACAGGATGTGTAAAAGCAGAATCAAATTAGTATTTTCTAAGTATTTATGACAGTCTTAACTAATCCCTTAAAGTACTGCAATATTTTATTCAAATAAAAGTTTACAAAGGTGTTTTCTTACTTGGCCAACTGCTTTCCCAACGTTGCTGCATGACGATTCAGATTATGCATATCAACGTACTCCATGACAAGCACTGCACCACCAGCTGGATTATCTACCACCACATGAGGCACTGGAGCCTTAACTGTTCCTGTGGCAATTATTGCTTTCAAGCTTTCATACTCTCCATCAAACATCTCTCGAGCCTGCAAGTAAAACTTGGCAATGATCAATCAAGCCTGAACTTTAGTGAATAAACTAAGTTATAATGTTTAATCCTTATGAACTAAAAAGACCACAATGGCATGAGGGATTTGCTATTTATATTATGGAAAAGATCATCAAGGCAAGTGACCTTCGACAAACCGCCAGCTTCCTGTCCTTGTCGAGGCCACTAGGGTTAGTGTCCCTCAGGTAAATCAGATAAAATCAGGAAATGGAAACCTTTATATTCAGGCATTTATTACGTGCTTAATTTTCCCCGAGCCATAACATAAATGACACCTTTCTTCCAATGCTAAATAAGTAAGGTCATTCTACTGAATTGGACACTGACAAACATAAAATGGGTTTGTTCTAACCTTGCTCTTAGAGTTCCTCTTCAAAAAGACTTTACCAGTGTCAGTCTTATAAACTTCGCCTTCATTGACACATCCACCTCCTCCTGTGCCAGTACCTTCTAGACGGGCTGTGCCAAGGGACTTTTTAATAGCAGCAAACATCCTTTGGTAATCTTTACAAAAGAGAAGCGTACTATTATTACTGGAATAAATCTTTTTGTATATAAATTGTTATAAAGTTGCTGTACAGTAATTGTATTATGGCAAAATACATACAGAATAACTCATTTGGCATCCTCTACAACTTGAAAGCTATGTACCGCACTATACAATGGAGTCTTCAAAATTCAATATACTGTACGTTGAACCAAATTCATCCTACTACAGTGTATTTAACTGATATTTCTGGTGCATGGAGTATTTGCCCCTCCTTTCCCCCCAGTAGAATGGCTTTTTCCTACTCCATAAATTGTTCAATATAGTATTATCAATTCACAAAGTGGAGAATGCAGCTTAAAAAGATGACATTTATATGTTAATGGCAAAAATATTAAATTAGAAATTAAAACAGTATAATCTAGCTTTGTAACTACAGTATATTAACGGCAATGTGACAATGAGCTAGGAATGAGGTATTTGATAATTAAGCAGCAAAATATTTTTGGTTGAGGAATGTATGAATATTGAAGACAATAACTAAAATGCACGAACAATAAAAAGGTACTGTAGTATCTAAACGAATTAACCTGCCTAACCTAAACTAGCAAAATCTTATTTATCCAACCATCTGAGGCACATTCAGATCAGTCACAGGCATTTTGAAACAGCCCGTTTCCATTCTTACGAACAATGGCCAAATGCTTGTTAATCCAGGTGCCAAACCCACATGTTTATGAATGCAAAACACTTCACACAAGTTACAGTACAACCAAAATGTTCAAACTTGTCTCTAATGGTAGTTTTCACCATGTGCTGAAGTGGGTCTGATCAAATATAACCTTTGTCAGCAGAATATTTCACAAACCTTATGCCATTATGCATCATTATATTATCCTCCCCGGGCAGAATATGAACCCAGGCCAAAGCGCTCGTGAAGCGCCGGACGAGTGCTTTACCACTGCGAATGGGGACTAACTAATTGGCTAACTCCCGGGTGTGGTACCTATAATACTGCTAGGTGAAAGGAGGCATTAGGTAAAAGGAATAAATAAATAAATAAAGGAAACATGCCCAAGCATTTCTGTCCACCTGGTAATTGAACGTGGGAATCCCAATTTAGAGTTGAGAACGAAGCCAAAGTTATTGTACTTTTAAACTGATGAACAAGTCTTTGGAGTTTGCCACAGCTTGGTTGAGTAGAGCCCGAGGATGGGTTGATTTAGTGATAGGCTTGGCTGGGTTAGATTAGGAAAGTTTTTAATTCTGATGACGAACTTTCAACATTACCTAAAACCTTTTATAATTACATATACTGTACAGTAATAATAATAATAATAATGATTTTTATTTACAAGAAGGTACAATGGGATTGCAAGATTACATAAGACTGGTATTTTTACATTCTTGCAAAGCCTTTAATGCGTTTCAGGCAGAAACGCTATGGACATAAAGAAGAAATTAAGCATATTTATTTATTTATATACAAGAAGGTAATTGGGTTTATGAGAGTACAGAGCATTAAAGTTTTACATTCTTGTAAAGCCACTAGCATGCATAGCATTTTGAAAGTATATAATTTTGGAAGTATATAACTATATATACAGTCTCTGTGGTGTAGTGGTAAGACACTCGCCTGGCGTTCCGCAAGCGCTATGTCATGGGTTCGTATCCTGGCCGGGGAGGATTTACTGGGCGCAATTCCTTAACTGTAGCCTCTGTTTAACGCAACAGTAAAATGTGTACTTGGATGAAAAAAAAAGATTCTTCGCGGCAGGGGATCGTATTCCAGGGACCTGCCCGAAATGCTACGCGTACTAGTGGCTGTACAAGAATGTAACAACTCTTATATATATCTCAAAAAAACTACATTACATATATAAATATATAACTATAATTTATGTAGGACATGAACAAATGTAATTTGATTCTGGAATAGGTTCTTTATTATAGAGAAATAAAACCATAATAGAAGGTGGGTAACCCGCAATATTAGTTGACAATCCAAGTGCCTAAGTAAGCGGTCCTTCTAATTACCGCAAGCTACACAAGCTTCACTAAGCTTCCTGGCAATATGTTAGTAATGAATAAATATGATATATTTACTCATTATAATGTTGGTGCTGAATGTACAACACGAAAAAACAATTTTAATCTGAAAAAGTATCTTTTTATAAAGAAATTAGACGAAAATAAAGAGCTGGTGACGCCAAATCAAGTCGATGATCCAAGCGTCAGATAGGTTAGGTTAGGTTTGGTTAGGTTAGGTCAACCTAACCTATCATATTTATTCATTACTAACGTATTGCCAGCAAGCTTTGTGAAGCTTGTGGTAGCTTGCGGTAATAAGACGGACCCTAAGAAAGTGGAACGACTCGTCCTCCTGTCTTGAGTAGAGCGAATAGTGACTGGTATCATACATTAAATAACTAAACCTCATCTAACCACGCCTATCCTGACCCATATACTGTATATATGGAATGTGTGAAGCATACTGTATGGTAAAGATGCACGAGCCAGCTACAAAACATGAACCACCTGTGAATATCCGTAGCCAGCTGGGAACCGCCATTATATTACACATTCCTACCAATATTCCCACATGACACCTAAAAATACATTAAACATCGTGTATAATATTAAACTGCGGTGGTTTACAACTACAAATCAAATATATTCGTGGCGTAAATTGGGGAATTATTAAGAAAACAGGCCATCACCTGGAGACCCCTAAACGGCCTTCAGTATCGAGTGGTTCTCAGCTAACACGGGTCGCGCTATCTTGAAATTAACCCAGGTAAGGGATCCCCAAAATGCGCGCCATGTTGGGAGCGACGAGCGCCCATTGAAAATGTTGAAGACATTATTTATTAATTATTTATTTATTTATTTATTTATTTATTTATTTATATACAAGAAGGTACATTGGGTTTGTGAGAATATATAGCATAGTATTTACAATCTTGTAAAGCCAGTAGTACGCGCAGCGTTTCGGGCAGAGTGAATGAATGAATGAATGATGAAGGTTTTAATGTACTTCATGAATGTGAATATATATATATAATTAAATGCGTCAATAAACTTAAATGTTTATTTCATCATAAAAAGTCAAATCTACAGGAATTTTTTTTTAATATTTTATCTTTCTAGACTCAAAATCGGGTTTGATTTCCGGGTTGGACAGAAATGGGTGGGAATTTATCTGAATTTGCCTGTGGGCCACTATATCTCTATCTCTAGTGGCCTCGACTAGGACAGGAAGCCAGCGGCTTGTCAAACGTCCCCCTTTCACCTGATACCTTTGAAGAGTTAAAGATGACATGATAGAGGTTAATAAGTGGATGAATGGACATAACAAAGGGGATATTAATAGGGTATTAAAAGTATCAACACAAGACAGAACACGAAACAATGGGTATAAATTGGATAAGTTTAGATTTAGGAAAGACTTGGGTAAATACTGGTTCGTAACAGAGTTGTTGACTTGTGGAACCAATGACAGCGTAACGTGGTGGAGGTGGGGTCCCTCGATTGTTTCAAACGTGGGTTGGACATGTATATGAGTGGGATTGGGTGGTTATAGATAGGAGCTGCCTCGTACGGGTCAATAGACCTTCTGCAGTTACCTTTGTTCTTATGTTCTTATACCTCTCGTCACTTAGCAATACTTAGCAGTTTGCCCAAAACGCTGTGCGTATTAGTGGCTTTAGGTACTGTATGTACTAGCTCTATCTATAAAGCCAACATTATGTTTGTAAATCAACTATGTATGTACTTTTCCTGAATAAAACAAATAGTTTAATTTAATTTAATAAATATGCACCATATAGTTAGTCAAGTTAATTGTGGATTGTATTCTGGAGGTCAATTGTTGGTCTAGGTCCTATATAAGGGAACCTCGGTAAACATAAGTACACGAGGAGCACCGCTCCTGTGCCAGGTAAGTCCATTACGGGCTCACCATAGCCCGTGCTACTTGGAACTTGTTCAGAGTAGCTGAATCTGTAACAACAAGCATAAGTATTTATTTACGGGCTATTCATGCCCGTGCCACCTCTTGGGTGGCTTAATCTTTATCAATCACACAGCATATTATGCCTTGTATAGCATACTGGAGGGGGGTAACCGGCTGCGCCCGGGTCTCTAACCCCCTTTTCCCACTCCTCTCTTTCTCACACGTTTTCTGTCCTCGTCGAGGCCGCTATAGAGAGATGATGTGACCCCTTGGATAAAGTTCAGAATACAGGAACTGCAAACGGTCTATTGGCTCAGACGTGGTAGATCCTAACTATATCCACCCAAACTCACTTATTCAGGCCGTCCGCGCGAGCGTTCCCAACGTCAAGAAACGGTCGTACTAAAGTGCTTTCAATAACTTTGATTAAATAAATAAATAAGAAACGCATATCCTGAGCTGCAACATCCGAAACAGTTTACATATACAGCTTCTGGCTGAGTCTCGGCGCATGGAAGTTCGCGCAAGGGAGCGTTGCCCCCCATGTTTAAACCTGACATTCCTTTAATTTTTTTTTTTTTTAGATTTCATATAATTTTATACAGCACTCGCGTAGTGGTATATGTCCAAGATGACTGTAGACACCCGAGCACTGGAATTGCAAGGATTTATTGCAGTAATAGTTTTATTGCCAAAGATTGCCTTCCACTTGCACCATTAAGCGTCATGACAAATGGAACTAGCATGAGTCGCGCTGCGCGGCTTGAATCCTGCCAGGAACTTGCCGGGAGGCCGTCAACGACACTTGTAATTTGACACGTCGGGAACTGAGCATGCGGCATTCCCGCTACTAAGTTACTTGACGGTACAGTCAAGAAGAGTCATGAGATGTATCCTTGGTCAAGACAGGTCTGAGGCGTGTATAAGAGCCGAGGGAGCTAAGACGGGCCGGAGCCATGGCTGCCACCCGTTAATGATCTATGGTCAATGGCCGCCATCCGGAGCCATGGCCTAGGCTGCCACCCCAGTAGTATGGTCCAAGGTGGAGTTCTCTAAGGAAGCAGGATCAGGAGAGAGCCGCCAACAATGTGCCACAGTGGGAGATGGGAATGATGACGTGAAGGAGAGTGATCATACTGGCCGCGCTGCCCCGGGCCAGTGTGATCACCTGGCCAGGGGCTAGCATGGCCAGAATCATACGGAACAATCATAACCTGTATGATTACAATTATGGTTTGAACACTTATGTCTGCTAGACGACGTACTGTCCTCAAGATTTTTGTGGAGGCGACTAAAGTGCTGGCAAGTGTTCCTGTTTACAAGACGACTGCCAGCGATGCCCCTGTTTACACGACGACTGCCAGCGATGCCCCTGTTTACACGACGACTGCCAGCGATGCCCCAGTTTACACGACTGCCAGCGATGCCCCTGTTTACACGACGACTGCCAGCGATGCCCCTGTTTACACGACGACTGCCAGCGATGCCCCTGTTTACAAGACGACTGCCAGCGATGCCCCTGTTTACACGACGACTGCCAGCGATGCCCCTGTTTACACAACGACTGCCAGCGATGCCCCTGTAGCAGGGCATCCAGGTGACCAGTCCTCATCGGCCCTGTCGGTGTATTTTTTTGATTAGTCCTAAGACGGTATAGTGAAGACGAGTGAAACAGGAAGAGCAGAGAGCTGAAGCAGCAGCGGCAGGAAGTAAGAACACGATATAAAATGAAGACAATAATTAAGCAGCGTCTGAAGTTAGTAAAATAATCAGTAGGAAGGGGAAGAAGCATGTGGAGTCAGCAGGACAAAAGGAGAGCAGCAGCAGCAGCGGCGGCAGGAAGCAGCGGCAGGAGGCTGGACTACCGCACCATGAAAGTCTACCTTCATGCTAACTCGCAATGATGAATACGTAGTTTTGGCTCCCCAACGATTCATAAACCGGATTTTTGAACCATAGACGAGGAGACGCCGTGACTAGTGCTTTCGGAAGACGAATGGCTACAGCCCCTGCGAGCGGCCGTGTGTGATCCTAATCCAAGGGCGACTCTCCCTTGCCCCGCTGTTCACCCAGCTAGAAAGCACTCAGCGTCCACACTTCCCGCAACTCTGGACCTCATGTAAAGTCGTCGCTGGATCCAGTTTGCTGCGCGATGTAGCCTCATCGGGGCGGGCGAGGAGAGGCGGAGCTTCCCCAGGCGACAATACCAGTGATTGTGCTCTATCGCCTTCATCTGTTTTACATGAGGGTGCGTAGGAAGATAGGAGAGAGCTGCGGGCTTGCCACACCTCGCCAGCTAATAATGATGCGCCATCTTCCGGTCTTGTGAAACCGTGAGCTGGACTCTGGCCTGATCGGGTTTATAATCTCAACCAGTAACGTCACCACGACTTCCTGCCAGCATAAAATCAAATATAAAATTACGGAAGAATTTTAATAAAGGTCTGGTGTATAATAACTGGTCAGGTTTCCCCTGTATCATATACAAAACTACGCAAATTATAAAAAATGGGACAAAGCCGTAAAAAAAATGCAAATTAATCTTCCACAGTGGAAAAAAATATACTCGATGAAGACAGGCCGGAAACATTAGAAAGAAATGAACGGCGTTTACATGAATAAGCGGAAACGTTGGATGAAGTATACTGCTCATATAAAGGAGGTTAGAAAACTTATGGGTGACTGGTATATTCGCTTCCAGCAGATCAACGGGGCTGGACCAGACCTGGAATGCTGGAAGGTACTGTGCAGGTTGGGCTCCTGACCGCAGCAAGTGCCGAGACAAAGACAGGATACTCCGTAACAAGATTGAACTGAGCTCAATGCATAATTTTCATTGCAAGAATCATTCTTACAATTATAATAGACACAATAGTGTGCTAAACAGGCAGCGTATAGGGAGGTGGGGCATGAAGCTCTGTACCCAGGGAGAGAGGTTATAGTGGATTGTATACTATACCTGGTACGGGGTAATCTCGAGCGAATTCAGGTGCGTAAAGTGGTGGGTTGTGTAGTGTGGTGGGTTGTGTAGTGAGGTGGGTTGACACGTATTGATATCCACTGATTTGGTTGACTGATTATTTTCTGTCTACCAGGCAAGCGGTAAAACACTGGGTTCTTTACCCTGCTGCCTAACAGGACGAGAAGGAAGGCTGTATACCTACCAACGGTAGGCTATTTGAGAAGCCTACTGTATTAGGCTTCCTAACAACTATATCCCCAAGGTTTATAAAGCCACCTCTACAGATTCTGGAGATTTATTGAACAACGATGGCAACGTAGTTCAGAACCATGTACAAGCCACACAGAACAGTGAAGTACGAATTAAAACACCATGAACACCATTCGAAACGAAAACAATAGAAGCTCATAACCCAGAGAAAGAAATAAACTTGTTGCCAAGGACTACAGTTTGTAAACAACCTTCCCTATGGTGAGGGGCTGGTGTAGTGGATATACACACATGTATGTACAATATACGTGACATATATGTGACGTATGTGAATCAAAGCGGCAGCAATACAGTCATTGCCTTGACCTCATGACTGTGGAGGGAAGGGAAGTTGTTGCTTACAAGGAGTAACTTCCCCTAGTGTTACGCCCTTTCTACCATTACCTCCTCCCCTCCCGCTTATAATTCCTCCCCCCACTCCTCACCCCAGGTCACAGCACCACCCCCTCTCTCCCTCGCCTGCAGGTCTGTCACACCACAGAAAACCCATTTACTTACACACAAGTTAAATACCTTGGCGTGTTCTGTGGTAGACTTTTGTAATTTGATGTTTTGTACCTTCCTGGGGGGAGGGAGGAGGGGGGGGGGCGTGACCCCCCGGGGTTACGGCCTCCACACGCCCTTACCTGGCACTCCCCCCACGCCCTCACCAGGCTCTTCCCA